AGAAAATTCTAAGGCATGGCTACTATTGGCCTACTATGGTTGAGGATGCGCAAAATTATGTCAAAAAATGTCCAACCTGCCAGTTCAACACTGATGACATTCACATGCCAAGTACCTGAGCTCATTCTAAAATTTGCACAAATTTTACATTTGTCTCTAAGCTAAACATAAATGTCTCCTTTGGCACAGGAGAGAGGCTATCGTCTCTCATATCACCCTAACCCTTCGCTCAATGGGGAGTTGATTTGCTCGGTCCTTTTACAAAGGGCAAAGGAGGTTGCACACACCTCATTGTTGTTGTGGATTACTTCACTAAGTGGATAGAAGCCAAACCGCTATCCACAATGATCGAAAGGAAAATAGAGGAATTTCTATTCAATTCCATACTATGCAGGTACTCATCAATGGTTTAAACCACACATGCATTACATTCACAAGTACTTGTGTCTCAGTCAGTGCGTTTGTGTGCATGTTTGGTATCCCTAAGCGAATAATTGTTAATAATGGACCCCAGTTCCGAGCAGCAGCACTCAGGTCGTTCTATGATGATTATAACATTGAGCTGACTATCACTTCTGTATATACTCCATAGTCAAACGGACAAGCAGAGTCAGCCAATAAAATCATTTTGCGCGGCCTTAAGACGCATGTCCTAGCAGCGCACTCCAATTAGGTTGACAAGCTCAACAAAGTACTATGGTCATGCTGCACCACGCCCAGCTCGGGCATCAGCGAAGCCCCATTTTGCCTTGCCTATGGAGCTAAGGCCATAATCCCAATGTAGATTGGCTTGTCATCCAACGGGTTAGCTCGACATAATGATTTTGATAACGAGCAACTCTTGAGAGAAAACCTAGACTTTGTCGAGGAGGTTAGGGAGTGTCTCGGATAAAAAACATGGCCTATCAGAGTCGTGTTGCTAGATTTTACAATAAAACGGTTTGTGCTCGTCAATTTCAAGTCGATGACCTGGTTGTACGCAAGGCGAGGCTCATTAACGCTTATTCGCACATGAGTAAGCTTGCTTCAAACTGGGAAGGCCCTTACATGGTTCTTTGTATTAAATGACCTAGTTCTTATGTGTTACCAGATCTACAAGGTCATCAATTACCATTCACCTGAAACATACATAACCTCAGAAAGTATAACAGCTAATATGTATGTTATTATGTTATCAGCAAATGTACTCAGAGTATGTGAAATGTATACATAGTTCAATAAATATAAAAATTCCATAAAATCTCCAAATTTGTATTTCTGTTCAAAATTTACATGATTGTAGTACATGAGATAATGATATAAGTGTTCAAAGGGGTCAAATGACCATTACAAAAAATGCAAAAGAAAGAAATAAACCCTAAACTAATCATCCGTCAGATCGAGGGGAATAGACACGTCAGTTGGAGCAACAGAAGCCCGAGCAGGAAATGTCTGAGCTTGAGCAAAACAAGCTGGCAAGCAAAGAGTTGGAGCGGTAACAAGCTGAGAGGATGGTGGAGTGCTTAATGGTTCGGCCTCCGCTTCAAGGGGCTCTATCACCCAAGCATCAAAGTTAGGCAAGCCCTCAATATCCTCCCCCTCTTCTACAACGTATAGAGGCCACACTAGCACTCCTTCTTCATTAAGCTCCCACTTCAATCGCACCGTTGTATTAGAAAAAAGAGCCAAACTCTTGCCTTACTCGTCCATTTCTTCACCCTCAAAGAAGCCCAGCTCGCTAATAAGGAAATCAAGCTGGTGGTGAAGTACCTTGCCATGGATCTCATTGTAGATCTCCATCATGGTATTGGCTGAAGCTACCACCACGGCGTCTTGAAACATCTCAAAGCCCACCAGCCACTTTGCTCCTTGCCCTCGTGCAATGCAAACAAAGTACTGGTAAGACTTCTTGACCTTCTCAAGGGATGCCACAGCTTGGGTCAGATTTTGGTTTGCTTTAGCCACCCTCTTTTTCAAGGAGTTTAGTTCAAACAAAGCCTTATCCTTATCAACCTCTGCTCTTTTGTCATGATTTTTAGCATAGTCGGCCTCATCCTTTGCGACTTGGATGCCGTTGTCCCTCTCATCCTGAGCTTTCTCCAGCTCTTCCTTCAGGTCGTTCATTTTGTTGGCTAACTTGTCAGCTTGGCTTTCAGTTGACGCAACCCAGTTGGCCATCTCGGAGCTTTGCAATCAATTGACCTCATTTACCAAGCTTGCCTTCTCAAAAGTCAACCGTTTGCAATTGTTGTTGAGGTCGCGAGTTTGCGCAGAGCCCCCTACTTGCACTTAAAGAGTGCTACTTTGTAGCTAAACGCCTGCCATATAAGTTTAATTGTTAATTTCTAACATAAACTTGAAAAGTGTAATAATATAAACACTCTGTGAGCATACTTACATCCATCAACTTCAGTATAGTAACATGGCTCCCCTATTGCTGAACGTGCCCCTTTACACGCTACCGATCTATAAGGGGAACAAAAGTTTGCATACCTTACACAATGACGGCCTGACAATCAATTTTGAGGTAGCTAAAGCCCTCAAGGTATGCAATCCTAGGCCCCTCTACAGACACGAATGTGGCTAAGGGCTCAGCAACATCATGCGCCGGCATAGGTGGCATGTTAGAAGAGCGAATAGCAGCAAACTGAACGGCCTAACCCGTTCTTTGTCGGATGAGTGGTACATCATCTTCAGCATCTGAATCATCACGAACATGCCTTCTTGAGCTTGAGGGCACAATTTCAATTCTTTGCTTGGCATGGGGTGTCGATGCCGAGCTCGAACTTTTGTGGGACGAACTGCGCCTCGGTGCCACAGGCTACTGTTCATCAAAATGCATTTGCTTTTGAGAACTAGATCTAGCCCCACGGTTTCTTGAGCTTTGAGCTCGCTGACGGTGCCTCTTCAGCACGTTGCTCATTTCTCTTGTACAAACAAACGCATAAGACTCAAATCGGCTAGAAATTATAGTATGTAATAGAAATATACCTTTGACATACAGGTTTGCCACATCAACAAACCCAAATAGCACGAGTTGCTCAAGGGTAACAAGGGCCTCCAAGTCTACTAATCCCTTCTCCCTTACGCTCTAACAGCTTATTCCTTAAATCTACATCCCCCGGCACCAACGTGGGGTAGTTCATATACGTATGGCTTGGGCACCACTCAGAGAGACGAGCTGCTAGCTCATTATTAATCCTTTGTATCCGCGTGTCTCATACAAAAATGAAATGCCTTTTCCATCTGGCAATTTTATTCCACACGTTTGTAAAAATTGTCATCTTCTCTCTTCCAAAAATGTAGTACAACCTCATCTAGGTATTATTAAGTCAGCATAAGAATAGCGACATGAATATTGTCGCTTTAGCTGGTATCTCTAGCTTCGTGCATAGTAGCATAAATCCCACAATAAATTTAATGCTATTTGGCGTCAACTGTGTGAATGCCAGCTCGTACTCTGCCAACAAGTTAAACATTAGCCCTGCTAGGGGCAAGCACAGGTCGGCGTCAAAGTGATCTACGTACACTAGTATCCAGCCCGTTCTCGACACTGTACACGCCCTCTCATTTTGGGTACTAGCTTGGATTAAAATTGTCCTCTAAATCTAGTATTGTCTCACCATTTCCTCTAACTTTTTATATCCTTTGACCGTAGCTGAACCATTTACCACATCATGATGCAGTGTCGCCCTGAACCTAAAGCCGACCAAAAGAGTTTTTGGTGCTTTACAGAGATTGTCCAATCTTCTACTAAGAACCTTATTCTCCCATTCTTCAAACACAACCACATTCACCTCCGTACTTGTTGTCAACGAATTGATAATACCTTCTCCAGCATCTCCCATATGATTGGGTGTCCTCTTTAAAGATGAATCTTTAGAGGCTGAAGAACGATGGTTGTCGGAATCACCACCTACGCTCGAACTAGCGCTACTCTTCGATGTGATGGTTTTGGGCAAATCCTACAATTCCGACGGCACTATCATTTTAATCGATTCCATTGATATAACACCCTCTTCTTTTTCCCCCCTGGTTATCCCAAAGCTCTCTTAGATCTTGAAAGGAATCCATTTTTACCTGGATGTTGGAAAGCTGATGTTCTTCCACGTTTAGCGTTTGAGGAATGCACTTGAAACACTTCTGTAACTTTTGTTGTGAAAAATGACAAACAGTATTGTGAAATGAAATAGAGAAATGGTTAAGTGAGTGTTTCTGTTGCCTCTCTCAAACAAATCACACCCCCGTAAATGTCGTATGCGTATTTCTGACGTGCTAGTTAAACGCCTACACATGACAACCATTTACAGTTGAGTGCGTAAAACCCACCGCCTGCCATTGTCACGTCCCCTCAAATCCTGAGCCAGCATTTATTGTGGGGAAGGTAGAGGGATATCCGTTGGCAGAAGAATACCAAACACCCTGAACCGTATCCTCTCAAAGATTTGCCTCATTTTAAAATTTGAAAAATCCCAAAGGTTCAAGTCGGAACAAATTTCCTTGGATTTGTTTCGTGCCTCAAGGATCTACGTCATTATGACAATTGAGGTCGCCCATTTCAGTTCGTCTTTGTAATCACATCCCCTGAGAGATCTCAGATTGTTGAAGTTTGAGACCATCCTACTTTAGCTCATTCTCATAATAGCATGGCCACCTCAATGCTTAGCTTTAGAATTTTCGAAAGGTTGTCATGGTTCAGATCGTCAGGTGTTTGCTTGCTTGATCGTCAGTATAGATGAGCTCACTACATAATGCGTGACACCTCGTGCATGACACACACCCTACCAAGAGATTTCATCTCTTTCCAGACCTACTCCACTTGGAAGTTGGAAATTTATCATACAAGCTTGCCTTTGTGAGCTCGTTGATGTACACCGAATTCAAACGAATAAGATTGCTTTGGCATCAGCTCGCCCACACACACTCAGACAAGAATTTAGTCCACCCATAGATGCCTAATGAAGTCGCCCTGAGTTCAGGCCACTCCAATATAACGTTTTCGTTAATGGCTTCCTCATATAGGGTTCAACTCGGATACATCACAATTCGTTTAAGTCAAACCTCAGTGTTTGGGTATGTACCCTGTGCCATAATCTTTCAGTTCGGTCATGGACGAGGTCGTTCATAAAATCCAAAAATGGTTAGACTTTATTCTCCAGGTTGAACGTTGAGCCACGGAAGCATTCAACCCAGTTGTCAACCGAACACTGAGGGGGAAGTAATGTTGCGAATGGGCTCAACATTCAATCTGAGCCATGTACAACAGATCCAGGCGTACATCCATAAGCCCAAAATGAAGAAACATCCATACACTAGTACAAACATACCCACGTGGGTAGTAACACAAGGACCAATTGGATGCTCACACATATAGACTCATGTCAGCACATGGGGCTATAAATACCCCCCCAATTACCTCAACTCAAAGTATTAACTCCACTACACTTCTCTCTTTACAATTACTCCTTGAGAGCTTCTCTCTCTAGAATATTGAGTATTGCTAACTTGAGCGTCGGAGTGTTTTCCCCGAAGGAACATCCTTGGGATTTTCAAGTATTGAAGTAGTTGAAGATATCTATAGTGTAGGATCATGAAGTTGCCCAAATAGTCCTGAATTGAAAGTTGGGGCCTAGGCCAATAGGAAGAACTCTCTAGGCCTTAAGTTATTTAGTTGAAATATATATCACCATAACAATTTGCATCTCATCTCGTTTAACCTCAATCTGTACGCCGAACAAAGGTTACAAACTCCATTTTCAATCTTTCTTCTAGACACTTGTGAATTGTAATTTCTTGTTTGTCGGAAGTAGAATTACACTTCCCATTTACTGTGACGTCATGCGTTGCCACACTTTTCCATGCCAACAATGAAGAAGAACCTAGCTACCGAGAAGACCCAAGTCTCGACGACGCTAAGGGAGATGCTCTAATTGGTGTCATGCTCCCACATCTTAATGGGTTTAACACAGTCGTGGTTGGTGGTGCTCCAAAGTTGGACACATCCGGAAAGTGTGTTGTGGGGAAGGGTGGCCCTAGGGATGTGGCGGGTGTTGGGGACAAGGTGGTGATTGGAGGTGATGATGTGGACATAGACAAGGGTGCAAGGGCGGACTGTAGGGATGATGGGTTTGGGTTTGAAGTGTCTGAGCATTAAACAGAAAGGGAAAAAGAACAGTGAAAAAGAGGATGATGATGAGGAACAATGAATATAAATGGTGTATGAAATGGCATTGGTTGGCCATATTGAGGTTGGATTGCAAAGAAAATAATAATATCAAGTTATATTAAATGACTGACCTTGTGATTTTAAGAGTCAAAAGTGATGCCATTAGAGATGGAATTAACAGAGGGACGACATTAAGCACTCTTTTAATGGTAGAGGGAGGGCATATTAAGCTTAAAAGAAGTAGAGGGAGGAGTTGAGGCTATATCTTAGTAAAAGGGTTAGATTGAACATTTTTATAAAGAAGAGATACGAATATTGACTTTATCCCTTTTTCGAATCTCACTACTCTTTTTCTAATATGTTTGCTCCAAAAAAATCATTTTTAAGAAGAAAAAAAAAATCAATGAATCTTGAATTTTTCCTATCCATCCCAGTTGTCTGTTTTTTATAATCAAATAGTCCCAGAAGGAAGAGTAAACAGAACGTTCTGTTTCTGTCCAAAACAAATAAAAAAAGCAAATCGTAAGAAAAACACGCTTTTTTCGAGGCGTTCCTTACGTGCTGGGTAGGCCGGACTGCGACGTGGAATTTTTCCGCCAGTAATTTAACGGTGTCTGTCGGCTAAAAGTCAAAAGCTGGCTAAAAGTCAAAAGCCCTCTTTTTGCGGAATTTGCAATTTGAATTGGGGCGCATGTAGGGTAGGCTGGTCCGTACCGTGTCAAACGGTCATCTGGTTTGGTTTGTTCCCGCTTCGCACTCCAAACTTCAATCGGGTCGGGTTGTGTACTATCGGGTATTATTCCAACCGCTTTAATATGGATGATGAATTAAAAAAAATTGATATTATAGCCTTATAGGCATCGAAAGTCAGGAAAAATAATGTCTAGAATCTTCAGATAGTCTTGAACAGCTGAATATTGGTTATCTGTTTCTTTTTTCTTTTTTCTTTTTTCTTTTTTCTTTTTTCTTTTTTTAATTTTAGCGTTGAATGATGAGCATTAAGGTTATAGTCCTTGCTTTCCCAAATTTTTCTTTAAATTTGAATATAAAATTTTGTAAAGATAAATATTGATTATATGTTATTCATTACATATTCAATTATTATATATTTCACTTTAGTTCAACTTTAATAAAAATGAATTCAACAATAACATTGAAAAGGCAATGATTAAAGAAATTAGAAAAATATATTTCATTAATGATGATGAAGAAAAATAAAACAAATAAAAATATAAATAAATAAATCCAGAAAATGAAAAAATTAAAGAAAAATGAAAAAATATCCATATTTTTATTCTAACAAAGGTTTAAAAACTAAAAAATCTACGACTAAATATTTTGTTTATTTAAAAGTAAAGGAATAATAAATTTAATAAGGATATATTAAAAAAAAAAAAAGAAATAAGAGAAATTAGAATAAAATAGAATAAATAAAATTAGTATGTAACTAGAGATGTAAGGAATCACAAAGGAAGAACAATATAGCAGAAAATAAATTACAAATATTGGGTAGCAAAAAGGGCAAATTTAGAATAGGTAGATAACTATAACAATAGAATATGAGAGTAAGAATTTAAAAGATGAAGTTGTAAAAAAAAAAAAAATCATCGAAGAGGTGGAGTAAATGTAGTTAAAAAGAATCAAAGAATAATGTTAAAAGGTTGCATTACTTATATTTAATCTAAAATATTTCTAGTATGAAAGGTAGAGAAAGAAAATTTGGGATAAAAAAGAGATATAAAATAATCAATGAACGTGCAAGAAAATAGAATGACTAAGAAAAAATAATAGATGCAAGAGAATAATGAGAGAAAAAACAATAACAAACACAATAGTAACAGATAGATGGGAAAGAATGGGGAATTAATGTAGGGTAAAGAGATAAATAAAATGATAAAACTGTGATGGAGGAGCTAAGAAATTGAGTTCTAAGAAAAATTAGAGAAAGATAGAGTAAGTATAAGTGAAAAAATACAAAACAATAATGATAATAAGTTAACCTTTTATGTTTTGATACAAAATATTTGTAAGCATAAACAGTTAAATAGAGAAAAATTTGGGGTAAAAAATAATAATTATTATTATATATGCAAAGAGTGATTAGAATAAAATAACATTAAACAAAGGATAAAGGGTAAAAGAAAGATTAATAATACTCAAATATATATATATAATGCTATCCTATATATTAAATAAGGTATGTATTAATTACTTAAAATATAATATAATATTTTATTTTATTTTTTATTTTTTATCATTCTTTTCAAAATGTTACCCTATATATTAATTAAGGTATATATTTACATAAAATATAATAAAAATTAAAAACTGAAATATAGGTGAAGACATTGACTCATCTTTTTTTTTTTTTTATGCATTATGCTAATTAATTTTTCTTGGTATATGAAAAGAGAAAGGCATCAAAATAGTATTTCCCTTCGCATTACCATATCCATTAATTTCTCCTAATATATGAAAAGGACATGCCATTTAAAATATATAGAAAAATGTTACCTTATGTATTAATTAGGATATGCATTTACATAAAATATAATAAAAATTAAAAACTATAATATAAATGAAGAGATTGGTTTATTTCTTTGATTTTAGCAAGTTAAGGAATAAAAAAGAAATTGAAAAAAATGACAAGAAATTGAATATGAGAAAAGGGATAAAAAAAAATAAACACTATAAAATAAAGTTTTACAAGTTAAACAATTATAAAAAAAATTTGGTAAAGACTTATTTAAAAAAAATTGAAAAGAAAACTGTCAAATATCTCATCTAGATATGTATGTTAAGAATAACTATATTTTAATTTTTTATTAAAATAATAGTTAATATTTTCTTCATTTCAATTTTTAGGTATTATGAACTTGATTAATAAAGGGTTGAAAAGATGAAAAAATAATAATAATAAAACTAGAAGGTAAAAATTATTTGGTTATTGAATTAACAATCAATGAAACTTACAAAAAAAAAAAATGCCAAAATTTTTATAGATTAACAATCTATTAATATCTATCCATCTATAATATAAATTGCTATCCCAAACATTAATTAAACACTAATTTTATTTTTTATTTTAATTATAAAAAAATAAATTTGTTAAAAAAATAAAAAGAGTATATACTTTTTTTACT